AGGCAAAAATGGGTTATTTCACCCAGTATAGGTTTTCACTAGGTTTTTGGAACTTTTTTGAAAAACAAATGTTGCCACTAGATTCAGCGTGGTCGATTACCTATGTTTGCATTCGTTGTCGGAATTACCACATCCAAAGAAATAATGATTCGGAGACTCTCAATCAATGCGATGCCACGCCTAAACCACGAAAAACTAAGAGTTCGCCTGGTTTCTGTTTTGGAGAAGACACTTTGGACTATCTATCTATGAAGAAAGATCGACCTATTCCTATGCTAGTTCTCAGACATCCAAACTGGTTTTACAAACATCTGCCCAAAAACTGGTTCGAAAATTTTTGCTTGTAGAAAACTAGTCTCAGATGTCTACCTTCGATTATTGAAAACCACAAGTCTCTAGCTTTCTGCTGTCAAAAGGTATTCAAAAAACAGCGACATGCATTGTATTTTGGAGCCGATAATAGTATTGTTGATATTTTTAGAAATTTTTATTATTGGGTTATTTCAATACGAATACAGCACCAATGTCTAATAAATTCTAATTTTTAATATACTTTTATTCATACAAATATTACATTTAACAGCTAAACTTTTCGACGTTTACCAACTAACGTGTTCATCAGTAGCAACATAATTTTTACACTGCCCAAGCAAAACCGAGTAAGCGAGAAAATCTAGCTACAAAAATAGCTGCAGCGCTCACTTCCCAGATTAACAAAAGACGGCTAAAAATCGTAGTCCGTTTGAGCCCTAGGACTCCCGTCCGAGGCTTCAAACGGACTACTGAAAGTCTCACTTTTGGACGGGATGACGGCGTCCGCGCCCCGCAAAAAAGGACGCATTAGGACGATAGTCTGGACGCCCGTCTTATGCCGAAAGCTGTCGCTTTTTCCGTAAAGCAACTCATCGCAGAAGGACCCTTTCAAGACGGCCGTCTAGATGCCCAGCACGGACGAACATCCAGCGATACAACATGACGCCGTGTCAGGTACATGAAAATGGACTACTGAAAGTCTCACTTTTGGACTGGATGATGGCGTCCGGACGCCGCCGCAACAGTGGACGTATCCGGATGTCCCGTCCTACAAAAACAATTGCTACCCGTAGATAGGGTCAGGCGTCTAAGGCATGACCGCCACTCTCAATCTGATTCAGATTTCGCATCTAGCTGAAGCTAGATAAATATACCTTTTAATCTAGATGCAGCGCCCGCTTCATGATTCTTTTTCGTGCTTGGATGATTCTTCGATAACATTTTCTAGATTAGAGATTCTTTATATCTTTTAATTATTATACTTTTTTGTTTCCATATTTTCACTCGATTATGTCTATATTATTTTATCTTATTTTATTTTATTCGTCCAAGTTCTTTGCATCTGAATTGAAATTCGTTTCTTTTCTTCGTTGTATGTTATGTCATCTATCGATAGAGTACATGGATGGAAAAAGGGACGGAAAAAAGATCAAATATACTTAACTTACAAAGAAGTTGCTCGTCATAGGCTATAAGTTATGACGAACAATTTCTTTCTCGATGTTAAATCTACAGTTATAGGCTATAACATCGAACTATAGACGTGTGTTGTTTTTGATTTCATTGTCAAGTTTTTTTAAAAATTATTATGTTGCTACTGATCAAAGTGTTGGTAAACGTCGAAAAGTTTAGCTGTTAAATGTAATATTTATACGAATAAAAGTATATTAAAAATTAGACTTTTGTTAAGTGTTGTTGATGAACTACAAAATCGGCCATGTGAATGAGAATAATTTTATTGTACTCAGTGTATAAAACTTTCAATAAAAAGTCTTTTTAGGAATATGCGTTATGTATATGCACTGTACAATTTGAACATATATCATTGAAACAAGCTAAGTTTCATGGTAAAATTCATGACGCATGTTTACGATACATGGGATGTGAATAAAAATAAATTTATTTTATTCAGCGTAAAAAAACTGTCTATAAAAAGTCTTTTTAGGAATACGCTTTGTGCACATTTAAAGGTAGAATATGATCGCTAATTCGCTGGTGCTGTGATTAGCGGTTGCTAAGGAAGGTTTAGTGTTATCTGGACTCTTTTTCATTGGTGCACGACTTGCTGTGGAATGCCTGACGGTCGAGCTGGCTTCACAACGATAATTATTTTTTACACGACAGTCATGAATGAAAACTATCTGCCTCTCTGAAGAATAGATAATCTAATTCAGTTTCTCACACATTTTATAAAATCGCTACGGCATTTCAGAAGATTTTAAAATCGACTGTTTGTCTAGTTTGATTTTTTCATTTAGTTCAACTATCGACTCGATTTTACAGTTTTCTCAAAAACAATTTGGTGATTTTAAAACTTTTGTGAAATCGTCAGCTATGCCTGTAAAATCAATAATTCTTTAAAATTGCGCCGATTTCACGAAAACTCTAAAATATGCATTTTACATTTCCCTTTAGAAAATTTAAGCATTTTATGAAACCTTTAATATATTCCAGAATATTATTATAACGCTTTTCTATAACACTATAAAATAGTTAGAGTTTGCAGTAGTGGCCGAAGAGTCATATCAGGCCACTTTAGATAGAGAATACACGCAGAACGTTTTTGGATATTTGTGTATCCTCTCTAGAGGATGTTCAGTTTGCTTGGTTAGATACCTGTAAGTAAAAAAGTCCTTGCCTATTTTCTCGGTCAGCACCGGTTTTTCTTCTGATCAGTGAAAGAAATTAAGATCACGAGCTTGTATATGCAAAAATTAAGTGTACTGCTCGCTAATCGCCCATACTGCGCAGAATTCAGTAGAAATCCAGAGAGTTTTCTGGAGACCTTCCAATATAGCCATCAGACTCGGAATGTCGTTAGATAGCTCTTGTTCACCTAAAACATTATTCATCACCTATGGGAATAACTTTGAAATTTTTCGAAGAATTAATGGTCACTATATACTACGTGATTTAGCAAAATAAAACGTTGATTATGAAAAAATACTAACGCTGGTCTTGAGTCTGTACAGCATATGTTCGAAACTGCAACTTAAAACATTTTGTTCTTCCTAAGAAAAATGAATTTTACCAGAAAAATGTTCCACGAGAATTTTTCAGTTCACAATGTCCAATGAATTTAACTCGTCATGTCCCCATGAAAAATACACTAAATTTAACTCTGTCATAAACCATTTGATGCAGTTTGGCGATTAAAATCTGCTCATGTGCGTCTAGTAGTCTTGTCACGTAGTAGTTGTTTTCATGAAGCTGAAGAATCTTGAATAATACAATTTCTCAGAAACTTGCATGAAAGACGCTTTTGTTGGTAATAAAACTCATGGAATCGCACATCATTTTCAAGGCCTCATAGAGATTTATTGATTGATGTATTATAACAAAATTTTCAAGGCCATTTTATGACTCGTTATCGCAATGAGCTCGGGGATTATTGTACTTTTCGTAGGGAAAACCCGTTTTCTGAGAAAAATGGAATTGGCAGACGCGAAAAGTAGTTCTTTTATCATAGTTTGGGCTATCAGAATTTACTAAGATAGTCGAAAAGAAGTTCATAAGACAGTTTATTTTTTACGGTTTTTACACGGAGTACAATGGCAGCGCAAATCACACATATGTAGAAAGAAGAAAAATCATGCAGTTTGCTAAAATGAAATATTTACTTTTGCTTGCTGTTCTCTTAAAACTAGTATTATCACCTGAAAGCTAGACTAAAAGCTCGACTTCTAAAAAACGGCATGGCATTCTAGAATAGATTTAGCACATTTTAATCCCGTATATGTTTCCTTCATGAGATTTTGAAGGACCCTAGCCATTTTAGGCAAATGAAAGTTACTTTAGTGCCCTTTATGCTTCCTTCAAGACAAATCTGAGAGAGTTTCACCTTTAACACCGTGACTTATCGTGACAAACTTTTTGTTAAGAACCGATGGAATCCGAGGCAGGGTTTTCACAAGCTTCCCGGATCTTCAATTATATGCACTATGAGTGATGACGTCACCTTTTGGCGATAACCCCTCCACACCCCCACACCTGATCACGCCATTCTTCATGAGTATGCATTCTTGACTAGTGCAACAGAAGAATCGAAATCTGCAATGTGAATAATGTTCGCTAATGTCAAGTAAAAGAAATTCATGAGAAACATACGCTAACAAAAAAAAGATATGAATTCACAGCGAAAAAGATATAGATCATCAGCTAAGCGACAATATTTGGAGAATATTAAGCAAAAAGTAACGTAACAACAAAGCATTATGTTCTGGGCTAAAGGACCAAGGCTAACCACTACAAGAAAGAACTTTTCAAGCCAGATTCAAGGCTAACCGAAAGCTTTTAAACAATCGCATGTTCTTGGTGTTCTAAGGAGATCCAACGTATGCATTTGCCGCCAACACTTTTTTTCCACGTTTTGTTCAATAAGCCGCACAATATTCCCACAAAGGAGCAGCGCTTCCACAAGTTGAAGTATATTGATGATGATCACTTTTGAAACAATACGATTTATTGTCTCTTGCAATCATCATAACATTGCTAACAATCACGCAATAATCAGCCAGGGTAACCCTCGTTAATAAACCACTAATGTGTGTTTCATTGATATACCGGCCAATCATTGTATGATCGTATGTATTCGTATCTAGTATCCATTTGACATTATATCCATCTTGACGAACATATATATAATCAGCGTCGGTTGGAGCATTGTGGTCCTTACACAAAGGACGCAGAGTTTTTGATCCCACCAATCTAGATACCCCTAAAGTTATCACAGACGCTCTGCTTCCCATTCAGCGGACGTCCGGCATCGAGCGGCTGCTTCCTCCCATCAACGTTCAAATGTTGTTGATGGATGAACTATTACCGGTTAAATCGTATGTTGGTCGCCAATCAATTGCTGATTCATCAACACATATTCGTTGTTGGCGTGAGAAATAGTGGGTTGTGGGTGAACAATAGTCTAATCGAGCACAGTCGTTGATGCAAGTCCACCAAGTTAGATAATTATACGGATTAACAAATGTGCCATTTGCCTCAGGACAACTGAAGGATTGTCCATGAACCGTTGAAATGCATGCAATAAATACTAAGTTAATTAAAATCAAATTCATGATCATACTCTTTTGGACTTACTGATTCTTTGTTAACGTAAAATGCGGGATAAAGTACATATGTGTTTTTTCCTGTTTAAAGAAAGTTTATTATTAGAATGTTGGTTTATTCCCACTGTTTATTCTTTCTTCGTTGCTGGTAAAGTACCAAATAATTTCTTTTCGTTGAAAAAAGAAAAATAATCATTATTCTTCAATGAATACGTATATGTTGTGTTGAATTTTTGTACTATAAAGGCTTCTGAGGAAGTAACATTCAATGAATAATCCTTTCTAAAGATATTTTTGGATGTTATGATGTAATAGAAACA